ATATATGTGTGTGTGTGTGTGTGTATATATATTCTATATATATTATATATATATACATATATTCCTAAATATTATATATATATATATATATTGATAAGTGGACTTTTTATATTTACCAACATATGTATACACTTGTGTATATACTACATGTTTGTACTTTATTCAATGTGATTGCCGTATACTTTTTACTGGTGTTTCATAACAGCCTTGTACTCGTACTGTATGCAATGTTGGAAGTCTATTTTAGGAAAGGGAACGAAATTATGCAGTATAATTATTTTGTTCGACATATCACAGTCGTACATTGACAACAATTCATAGCATCGCCGTCAATGAATGGTTGCCATTTGAAGCTGGATTTCGAACAAAATATATCCTAAAGTATATCTCCTAATTTCTTCTAAATCTGCGCGACGTCGGTTCACTTGGTACGCACAGCTTTAAAGTTGTTCGTAACCATGTACTGATATCGGGATTCTCTTTTACTCGAAACTGAGGTTAGATGATTTAGTAATGGTCCTCGTTGGATACGCAGCAACTGGACTCGCGGCACTTTTGGAAAACACCGAAATTGTAGCATTTTGGTGTCTTCTCCTCGGATATGTCCGTGTCTATCGGCAGCATAGGAATCCACCGTCTCTAACCTCAAAATATTCGTCACAAGTGTATGCCTCGTATCCCCACTTTCCTGTCTTCTTGTAGTGATTGTCCTCCTCAATAGCAAGCTTTGTTGGGCATGGCATCAAATATTCGGGTAGTTCCTCTTCAGGTATACAGTAATAATCCTCACTACAGAAAGGAATATCTTCATAGTCACCGGTCTTCTCTGACCTTCATTCCTCAGGGAAGTTCACAATCTCATTAGCTGTAGCATTGCAGACATAGTTGCCGAAGTATGCTACGTCGATTGTGATTCCGCAGGCAAAGGTCGATGTTGGCATGAGAGGTGGTGTGGACTTAGGGATGGAACCAGTTGCGGTGACAGTTACGGTCGCAGTCTCGGTGGAGGAGGAAACAGCAGGCTTAGGCTTGTCTTCACAGCAGTTGCGCGGCATGCACTTGGAGATGCCATACCCGCACTGTCCACTCCACTGGCAGCACTGAAAATCACTCTTGACAGGTCTCTGGTGCCTGTCACAGGAGTTGATCCTTCTCGACGCAAGAGATAGGCTCTCTCAGGGGAGGCATTACTACTGGGTGAACCCTGGCGGGGGCTCATGGTAGACGCAGCGCCACAGAAGGCAGCCAAGTGCAATAATCAATTTCATCTCTAGTAGTTGTTTTAACTTCAATAGTCAAGTGTGATGATTGTGCCGTCCAGTTTCTCAATTTATACAGATGCGATAGTAACTGTGGAATCATCCCTGTCGGTTGGGCATACATAAGTTAAATCAAAGATGTAATATTGCACAATGCTCTTTTTCTTTGATACGCTACTTATCATAAAGCCATAAATATCTAGATGACATATATTATGTAATGAAAGCATCACAAAATCTAAATGTGGGCACCGTGCTCATAAAATTACAACTCGTATCGTAAACGTCGACATATACATTTGTACTAGAATAGCAACTCGGATTCGCATAGGCCATGTCATAGTGCATACTAATCAATTCAAATCAACAACACCGTCGAATACACGTGTGTGGAGTTCTCGAAAAGCAATACGAACTTTTTTCTTCTTCATTATAAATAAAATCCATCACCCATCACGACCTACATCACTTCAGCAACTCCGAAAATCACTGAAAATGTGATTCTTGTTTTGTGGTATTCGTGTTTTGTGCTCCCAAAATGCTTTTGCAATAGATTAAATACCAGACATTCTATTAGGATTGGTTAACGTTTGAAACCGATATTTATTTCAAAAGCATTGCCCATTCTTGATTCAGCCCAGTAGGCCAATACACATAGTTCTAACTTGAAACTTCTACGGCAACTCACATTGTTAGACTCACAAATACACGCCGGTGAGATCTCGTCTTCAGGGCAGTTCAGGGCTTCAAGAATCAGGCTTCAGTCCACAATCCCTTCCGTGGTCAGCTGTGAGGCGTGAGGCGTGAGCTCACCGACCACGTGTCCTCCCCGCGGCGCCGGCCTCCACGTCCACAGTCCACAGTCCACAGACTCCCTTCATGATGACCATCACTATACATATATGTATTCTGCCAAGAAAGTAAAACGGTCTGAGCACAGTGAGCGAGTCAGAGACTGAGAGACTCAGTCTCAGACTCTCAGAGTCATCCTCAGTTCTCCACTCTCCAGAGTCCAGAGTCCAGAGTCCAGGATCCATAGTCCTCTGGGTCCTGAGTTCTCCGAGTTGAAAGTTCAGTAGTTCACTCTTCGGTCCTAAATAAAATAAATACACACTGTCGAATGTCGAGTAAACAAAATCCAATAGTAATATGTAGATAAAATCTTTTCCTCTCCTCGTTCGACTATTAGAGAGAGATGATACCACTGTACATAAATGTGTATAACTGTACATACCAGATATGTACATTGATACTAAATAAAGAGTAATGATTGATTCACACGTCCTTCGGACGTTAGTTCGTCCCCTATATTTTATTCTTCTTCTCTTTCTAGAGAGAGGGACATGTCCACACATAATACTTCTGTTTTTTCTTTTTCATACTTTTAATATATTATACATATGTTGTTGTTTTGTTGTGAACAAAATACAATATTGTCCATATTTACTATCTAAACTCATAGCCTTCTAAATTGAACATTAAACTCATTATTTTAAAAAAGAAATGTAACAATATAAAAAAAGTGGAAATATACCATATACCGAAAAACCTAGAGAGGTGTACAATGACTGTACACTTATAATATCGTATTGCCTTTGACTGTACACATAATATCGTATTGTCTTTGGATACATAGCTCTTTTCGTAGGATTCTAGTGTGAACAAAGAATTAGTGTCAGTGTATTTTCGATATGCAATGAACATCTGCCGTACCTTTATTTACGAGTTCCTTAGCTTTTAAGATTATACCAGGAGAAATTAAGTCTATATACATGTCTAAAATTCGGTCACTAAGCACAAAACGCGCGGTCCATATCATCCCCTGGGTGTATGATAGGCACACAACTGATGGTCGCAAGGAGGTAATTCATGGTCAAAGCCAAAATGACTACCACAAACGATCTAAGTCCGCATCCCTACGTTTGGTACACATATACCCTGGCACCAGAGCAACGCTCATTTGGTACTGAAGGGAACAAGAACAGGGATTCAGATCAACCTCTTGGATGTTTTAAAATATGCAGGTTTGGGGAGGGTGTAGCTTCACTAAAGAGTCAACTCGTAGGTCCGCATTCCGTGACCCCATATTTGGATCGTGCTCCATGACGCCTATCCAATGGCGGCGGCCAGAATCTCAGCGACGGTCTCATCTGTACTGCGAACTGCAGTTGAATAGATGAATACAATATTGAATTTCGCAGACAAGGTCAGCTTTAAGATGGATACGGTTTGTCTCCTGACGCGAGCAGTTCATCCTTCGATAACTACTTCAAGATTGATAGCGAAGGTCTTCCGCAGGAATACATATATGAGCACCTAAACCCTTTGCGTTACCATGGTTCCTGATGCACAAGACACTATGCATAACCCTTGGGTAGAGTGATCTTAGATACCTCGGGACAAATAATACATACAAGCGATTGAAAACACCATAGCTTACCTCCAAGCTGCATGGTAACGCCACTTCCCAGTTGGAATGCCAGACGCGCTCTGATGAGTGTTTTATGGCTGCCCCGGAAAAATCCAGCCAAGAGCAGTGTGTGTGTGTTGGCGCCTTCATTGACCTACGAAATTTAGCAAATTGAGAAGATACGTACGAAATTCAGCATATGGACAAGTATCAATTAGTGAACAATCTGGAAATAAAAAGCATAGTAAATATTCACATATGGCATTGAATATATAAACGCGTCGCAAATTAGCATTTGCAACAATGATACAGCAAAGGCGAATCATTCCGAGTGCTACATATATACATATATATATATACGAATATATACACCTATACAAATACATGTATATAGATATATACATGTATTAAATAGATTATATAGATATATGTACATGTATATATATATTTACATATAGGTATATACATATATATATATATATTTACACATATATATATATACATTTACATTTATATATATATACATATATATGTACATTTACATTTACATTGACATTTAC